ACGATTAACTGGCTTGTTTTTAAAATTAATATTTTAGCAGTCATGATTCTCATGTTTGCAAAATTTCAAAATGAATTTTCGTTAATTTTCTAAATGCATTTTCAAATTTGCTTAAAAAAATGATTGAAACCTTGATAGAAAAGTTACTCCGAAAGTCACAATGTAAAACAAATGAGAGCAACTGAAAGAAAAATGGGAGAAAAAAGTAAAGGTTGGTAGTCATTTTAAAAGCATGAATAAAATTTAATCCATACATACATTGCACCGTATATGCCCACTGGGTGTATAAATGAGTAGTTAATCATTCACACAAAAAATGGCCAAAAACTCTTTGTTTTTGATCGGAAACACTAATGACCGATCTATTGTATGTTCTGAAAACTATAGACTAAGAAATAAGTCTTTGCGTGTTGCCTAGAAAATCGAGTGGTAACTTGTTCGATTTTTTCCGATGAGTTAACACGCATGCTTCTGTTTAAAGTTGAATGCAATCAATATAAAGTTTTCAGATTCAAAATATTAGCAGCAAAAAATCACACTTGATTTTAAAACTAGCATACACATCGCAAAAAGAAGCAATTGTGAAATAAAAAGAACTCAATTTTTAGTTTTTGAAGAATTCGACCCTTATTTTTTTTACGTCGTTAGCGTATTACCAATTTACTCATCAGATAAAAAAAACTTTAGGAGATAAATTTTAACAGGTTTGGTGCTCCTAAATGTTTTCAAGATCTCAAGAAATTAATTACCGAAAAATTTAGATTATCTTCATATTGTAAACTTTCAAAACTTTGCATCTACAAGCTCTTCAAAACAAATATGGTAAATTAAGATGGTCTTGGCTAATCAAACATTTAAATGAAACAAAAAACATTAATTTGCTGACGTTTTCACAAAGCTGAGTTTCCGAATTCCGCACAAAGACTTTGTAGTAAAACACAGGAAATGCTTTGAATACAGGAAATGCAAGACACAAAAACATAATTTGAAAAAAGTTACATAATTACCAAAGTTTTTTATCCCAATTTCTTGTTTTTCATCAAGCCTGTAGTCAGTATTTCGGGAAAAATTTTGATTCGAGTCGTAAAAAACATTGAGGCGTGGCCGGTCGGTTTAGCGGGCAAAAGCTAACCCGACGTTGATTGTCGCTACGCTCCGCGGGAACTCCTACCGCTGGTGTAGTCATTGCTTACCAGTTTTAACAGTTTTAACATTCAGAGTTGCTGGAGCAAACTGTGTGGCAAATAATTTGACGAAAAAAGAGTTAAGCATAAAAATCAGCTTAATTGTTGTTTTTTTCCTCAAAAGCTTCAAAACTATTTCTTTCTTTTTATAAGAAGGGATGAACCAATCTCGTTCTCGCTTAATTAAAAGATAGATTGAATTGAATTCTTTCCATGAATACTGACTGCAGGCTTGATGTAGACCATTAGTCAAAAACTACCTTAATTTATCACATTTTTTTTTTCGAATAGCTTGTAGATGGGAAGTATTGAAAGTTGGCAGCGTAAAAGTGATCTCTGAATTTTCAGAATTTTTTTTGAGTAAATTTATACGCATTTAACTTAGTAAAACTCTTCACCTAAAACATTTGTTCAGTTATTTGATGAATACTTCTCTGAAAAACTAACGACATAAGAAGATAAGGATTTGAATTTCTTTGGAGATTTGAATTTCTTTATTTTCAAAAATGCCACTTTTTGCGATGTAAATGATAAATTTCTTATCAAATGTGATTTTTTTGTGCTAATTTTTCGCATCTTGAAAAACTCTGTTGATTGACTTCAACTCTATACAGAGGCAGGCATAGGCATGTAAATTCATCGGAAGTAATCAAACAAATTACCACTCTAACTATTAGTTAACACTCGAAGACTCAATTTTTAGCTTATAGTTTTTAGAGTATACGATTGATCGGTCAATAGTATTTCCGATCAAAAATGAAACATTTGGCGCTTTTTGTCTGAATCAGTAACTGCTCATTTAACCCCACCACCCCCCCCCCCCCCCTCACGATTTATCAAAGTGAGGCGAAAAAACTCCTGATTTGAAAATGATGTAAAAAATTTCAAAAGACATCTTAACACCGATGCATCCATCAGACATGAAACATACAGCGCTGCATCTATTAGACATGAACAACAAATCAACATACATAACATAGAAACGCACACATAGAAACATCTATGGAAAATTTATAGTATCTAGCGATCATTTTTTGAGTTTGAAAAACAACCCCACTAACTATACACAAACACGTAGGCATGAAGACAGTTAATCGTCTACACAGTTTTCATAAATTGTAGAGACATTTATGCAAAAATCAAGCAAACATACAGGCGTGCAGGCACACATACATCATACAGGTAGGAGGTAGGATTTTTGTTTATTTAAACGGACAAACTTCACCAACTAGATACATGTAGGCTTTTTACATGCATATTTTATACGAATGTACAATTAAACGTATATAAATGCACACCAATGAGCAAGCTTCAGAAAATATTAAACAATCAAAAACATTGCATCAATACGGAAAAAAGTTCATGCTCATAACATTTCTTTGCGAGATACAGGACAAAATCAAACATTCAGAGTTATGCAAAAAAACTGATCAATTGGTTGGGTAATTGATGTTCTTATCTAACAATTTAAGTTAATTTAAGCACATACCAATAAAAAAACACTTAATTTATAATACTAACATATTGGAATCCTGCAACAGATGGGCATCAAAGCACCATAATCATAAATCAAAATCAAACTTATCAAGAACTTAGCCAATTTTGTTGAGATATTCAAACATGGTGTCATCCGTTTTTTTTCAAATCTAGTCATATTAGTTTTCTCCGTGCAATCGTTTTTAGTTTCACAGAAACATATAATCAATCGTTGCAGCGTTAAACCTTGCTGAGGTTGTAAAATTAGATCTTTCGTCATGATACATTGAGTGATTAGATTTTGCATTAGACAATTAGGGCATGTTTTTTTATAATACTTGGTTTGAAAAACTTTTAAAAAGAAAGGAAAATTTCACTGAAAATATCTTTCGTGTTTTTAGTCCATCTAACATTAAATATTGGAAAAAAATTTCATATAAGATAAACAAAATATATAACAAAAAAATCAGTGATCAATTACTATCAGTTATTTAACAAAACAAATTCGGAAAGTTTCAGGTTCGAGTCTGCAAAATACAAACTTCAACATGTAACAATAAGTAGCTATTTGGCGTGTCAGGCAGTTTGAGGTTATGTTATAAAATACTTAAGGGTCTTTAAAAATTATAAGCACAGGGAAAAAAACTGACTGAGAAAATTATTTGTTTCTTTTGTCCAGAGAAAACATTGAAAAACTTCCAACTGAATACTTACAAAATAAAATCATATACTCTTTCAGAAAATAAAAAAACTGTTTTCTTTTTCTATCATATATACACTTTAATGTCTTGACACCAGATGGTCTCTTCCTGCTTTAGAAAACCTTTGATTCATTTTAAATAACTTTGCAAATCAGAACCAATCCTGCCTTTTTTTACCAAGCTCGCCCGCTAACCGCAATTACTTTATATGATGTGAAGTTTTCTCATATTTGAATAGTCTGCTGCTAGTGACAAGTAATCACAAGCTTCACTTCTGAACGGTATGGATAAAGACTGCCCACGATAAAATTTCCTTATACAATTTGTTGTGGCTTTCTATATGCTTTGTATTTGTCACTTTATGCAGAAACCTTTGTCTTTTTAAACCAAGCAGAACTAACAAGGTAGGAGTCGCAGACTTTCCAAAATAGATCCCCTATAAAAAAATTAAAACACACAAGTTATCGTGAATAATTCCTGCACATGACTGAGTAATAAATAATACAAATTGTAAGCAATCTGATTTTCAAATTTTGCTCTTTCAGCTTCCTCAGTTTCTAAGTGGATTTAAATTTAACATTGCAAAATCCTTGTTTTATAAATATTGATGGAAACGTTGGAAAGTCAAAGACAAAAACCAACAGCAGAGACATTATGCATAATTCCACGAAAGCAAAACTCATCTAGAAATTGATTTTTGTTATGCAGATGATTGCAAGAAAAAATTTTCCCGTCTTGAGACATTAACTCCCACCCGGAGTGTAAAATGTAACGACTGTTTCGAAACATTTAGTTCAGTTGTTGATAACGGTCGAACCGCAAATATAGGCTGTTTAAAACATAATGGTAAGAAATTTTTCCTTGTACTTCCCGTTTTTTTTCCGCTACTTAGACTAACGCTAGCAGGGGTTCCGGTCTTTCGAGTGAAGAATTACAAGCAATTGGTCAAAAGCAGCTCAGACCACCTTCAATTAAAACTCGAAAAAATAATCAACCTAACTTCTATAAAGATGAGTTCGACTTCTGTTTTTTTTTGATGCGGAAAAGAAAAGCAGGAGACGATCCACTTTTTGCTCGACAATCGTCAACAGTGATCAACGTGTAAAATCAAAAAATGAATATGATGAAAAACGTCATTGCTTATCATGTTGCGCCGAGTTTTGAGTAAACCTTGTTGTACTGGAACACTGAGATGATTCGTGTCGATTACGATGATTGTGAAAAAGGATAACTTAAGAAAATAGTGGAACACATGCTCAGTTCAATCACGGTTCTTCGATGTAAGAATCTCAATTTTTGAGATAGGCAATATATATTCTCAAAGTGTTGCTTTCATTACACATGAAAATATCCAATGATGAGAGCTTTTTAGAAAACACTTCAAGGTTTTAAAATTTTTTGATTTTTCTTCTTTCGCCGGTATTTTTTGTAAACTGCACCAAATTAATCATTAAAGACTCCAAAAAACCTGAGCTTTTTATAAGGAGAAGCAGTCCTGGAAGAATAAGGAAGAACTCAAATCCTTTTTTTTTCTTCAAATGCTTCAGCAGTTTTTAGATAAGTGCTGGGGTGATTTCAGTATATTTAGACTTTAAGTGTATTTTACAGTTATCTCTCTCGAGATATCATATTTTCTTACCTTCGAAACCTCCGGGTTCTTAGCACCTGGAAACTCTGCCTTTTTGTAATTCGGCTCAATTATTCCATCCTTGGACTTTTTTCGGAACACACTGCTCTTCAGTTTAGAAAAGAATCCTGGTTGATTAGAAGCAGGTTTTTTCGAGACCAATTTTGACCCGGGTTTGACCTTCTTAGAAGTACCAGAGTTTTTGGAGCCCAGATTGGGTTTCGTTTTCTGTTTTAACAAAAGACTGCTATCCTTTTTCGGGAGCTGGGATGTATCCGGCTTGGGTTTCAAACTGCTATCCTTTTTCGGGAGCTGGGATGTATCCGGCTTGGGTTTCAAACTGCTATCCTTTTTCGGGAGCTGGGATGTATCCGGCTTGGGTTTCAAACTGCTATCCTTTTTCGGGAGCCGAGATGTATCCGGCTTGGGTTTCAAACTGCTATCCTTTTTCGGGAGCTGGGATGTATCGGGGCGCTTGTTCGGCTTTGATGGCTTCAGGTTTTGTTTGGGTCGTATGGTGGGCTGCTTTGTTAACTTTTTTGAGGTTCCTTTGCCAGCCCACTTCTATCAAGTAACATTTTCCGTTTTTTTTTCGTTTTTCATTCGTTGAGTTACAAAAGCAAAACTCAAGTTTATACTCTATACTCTATACTCTATTAGCCTAATTTCAAGCACCATTTTGGACACCAATTGCCAGAAATGTTGACAAAAAAATTATACCGCCAAGAGCAAATGATCGCAGCTACCCTAAAAGAAAGAATCAATATCTGGTTTCCAGATTCTAACAGTCTATTGCTGGCTCAAAAAGGCCAGATTTCACCCTCTGCTGTCAGTTTGTCTTATTGTAAGAAACGGCATAGTACACCAAAATTTGACAAACTGAACAATTCAGAGATTTATACAGCGCTGATTTAAATTATCCAGACAAAACGCAATTAAATTGAAATTTAAAACGCGTTTGTCTCGAATTGGGTTGACTCAATTTTTTGACAAAACTTTCTTAGTATATCAGCAAAACTAAAATGTTTCATTTTGGTTAGCAATTTTCGGGCCCAAAACTTCAACCCAAAAAAGGATCTTTTCTTAGTCAATCGAGAAATGCGCTAAAAGATCTTGCGGAGCGTAGAGTCTCCAAAGTCAAATTATTTAAGACTTGTTTTTAGATACAAAAAGTTGCTCTGTTTAGTATAAACGATCTTTTGGGTCTATCAAACAAAACTAAATGAGTTTATACAACGTTTCAGAGAATATTCTCTTTTAAAATTTTAGGCTCATTTGGATACAATTATGTTAGTGATTGATTCAGTTCTCGCGGAAATTTTGATTGACTAAAAAACGCAAATTGATTCTTTTTGGTGTAAAAAATTTGGGCTCTAATTTCACAAAGCAAATTTCTCTATTATTTGAGAAAAGCGCGTTTCGATTTTCAGGTTTAATGTTTTTTTCCAGATAAGTTAGGCACTGTAGATTTTAACAAGTTTATCGGACAAAATTAGTAATGTATCGTGTTCCGGATCCTAAGGAAGGGGTCTTTTCTAGAGGGGTTCTCCTCGCGCAAAGCAAAATCCTAACAGGTGGTTCCTTAAATTTTGTATGTCAAGGCAAGTTTACACTCCTATAGAAGAAGAACCTTACATAGGAGATCGATAAGCTTAGCTTAACAACGAGGGACACAGTACGTAAATCCTTCAAAAATTTTGAATCTTATTTATTTGTCCTGGTTCAATACTTTAACAAAACTAATTAGAGAATGTTTTTCAGAATAAAAATAGTTTGACCTAGCTTGGAATTAGAGAAGGAATTGAAATATCTTGATATGATCTAACCTAAGCTCGCCGGCAATTATGGCAGCGTAAGTTAACTATTGGCAGCAGTAACCTTTTTCTTCAACCTGTGCTAGAGTTTACCGTGAAAAAGTGGTAAACTGAAAACAGTCGCTGAGAGCAAACCTCTAATGAGAAAATTTAGCTGAAGAAAAATGTACTGAAAAAAAAACTTACGCCGATGAAAAGAGAAAAATCAGTATACAGAAAAAAAATTGAAAATGCAAATTTTAGAGTTGAAAAACCTATGAGAAATTGCAAAACACTAAAATGGTTTGAAGACTAATTTTTGGTTATAAAGAAATGTAGAAAAGTAACGATTGAAACCAAGGTAAGCTCAATTTTTGAAGATCCAGAGACAAAACTAGAGGTCCAAATTAAAATGGAAGTCCTTGTTGCTTTTTTCGAACTTATTTTTTTTGATGTGGGACGAAATAGGTAACTTCATGAACTCGAGAATTGCGCTTCCTTCCAACTCTTTGTTGTTGTTTTTTTTCAAGAAATTTGATAAGATAAGCCTTTTTTTAGAACTTGGAGTTTTCCCACATGCACAGGTTCTTGGTTTAAAAAACTGTATGTCAGGGTTTATACAGGGAAGTTTTCTTTTGATTGAACCCGAAGTCTCAGGTTTCTGAATGTAATTTTCGAAAGAACTCAAAAAGTTTGCAAAAACTTCAAAAAATTTAAAACTTTCTCCGAGGTCCAATTTTATAGTGTAAAAAATGTGAGAAGGGCCATTTATGTAGTAAAACTTCATCAAACCTGTCCGATGATTGAACTCAAAACCTCGGATATGGGTAGGAGTTTTTGAAAAAAGTCAAAAATATTCATAAAAGGACAAAAAGCCTTAAAAAAGCCTAAAAATTGTTTGAGGACAATAAGTTTTTTCGTAAAAGTATTCGGGCGTAGTTGCTAAATTGGATGAGCTTCTCTTCACTCAATTTCTCCATCGAGTCCAAAATATTAGATTTGGCAGGGTAGTTTTAAAGAACAAGAAATTTCAAAGAACGGCCAAAAAGTTAAAACTATGTCTTTTCCGAGGACAAAAAATTTTCGTGTAAGAACTTTGGACTTAGCTTTTGATGCCGGGGAGCCACCACCCGTTCTTTCTTTTGAACTTTAATTTCGAGGGAAGTTTTGGAGAAAAAAAATCAATAAGTTTGAAAAACGGTCAATATGTTTTGGCTCAGCCGTTAAATCAAGCGAACTTCTCACAACCCGTTTTTTTACCAAAATCAAAAAACTCAGGTTTGGCAAAGTAGTTTTTAAAAAAAAATCAAAAAAATTCAAAAAACTGTAAAAAGCGAGAAAACGACTTTTTTCAGATTCATTTTTTTGCTTGCAAGAAATTTGAATTTAGCGCCTCATCCGAGGAATTTAGAACAATACTTTTCTTTTCACTGAGCCTAAAATATCAGAATTTAAAACTTCAAAAGTATATTTAAAGTATCCCCCTACTCTTCCTTGCAGACTGTAGAAACTGTGGTAAGGTCAAAAGACACCAGGGGATAATGCAAGCACACATAGGGTTGAGCGGTTTTTCCATTAGTACACCTTTCTTGGAAACCTTTTGAAAATTTGACAAAGCGTCTCAAAAAATTCCACACAATTTCATGCTAGCAGTTGTTAAAAAATAGGAACTGACAAACTGAAATTTTTGAAAACATTTAGAAAAACGAATAAAACAAACCAAACGCGACAAACTTGGTGTTTTAAATAACTCGGTAGAGTTTTCGTTGAAATTTTGGAAACCTATAACCTATCTTAGTACATCGGGAAATTTTTTCTCTATGATAATACATAGAGTGCGGACCGGATACTGTTTAGCCTATATTAATACACGGGGGGTCAGTGCCCCCCTCCCCGGTCAGAATCTACCCTACATATATTACTTAGGGTGTCTTCTACTATAGGGTTGAGAACGTTCATTCGCAAAAACCTAGCATAGAGTTGCATCGAAAATTTAAGGACACACTTCCTAGGAAGGACCCCCCTTATAATCAGGCACACGATACATTACTTGTGACAACGTCTTACACTCAAAACCAATCTGACCTTGAGGCAGTGAAATGGTGTTGAAATTGCAAAAGAGTGGTCAAAATAGCTGTGAACTAAGATAGCGCGTTTTCAGAGACGTCTGCTTTTTTAAAATTACTTCATGGTTGTTTTCTTTTTCATTCATTTGCAGTTTTAGCGCTACCTCACTGTCTCAATGTCAGAAGAGGTAAAAACCTGTTCATCGTTGTTTGGCTCTTTTCCGCTGACACGGCTTTTGATATTCAATTTTAAAAACTACATGAACTTCGTTGAGACTTCATATCATACAACGTAACATTACGCGGCTCTTTTTCCTTTTCCCCCCACCTCACACGATCTTCAATGTATTAGTGTAAGGAGTGGTTTTACGAGGTTAAAAATGAAGAGCAAATATGTTTTTCGTGGCCTTATTAGTCTGTATGTAAATTTTCATAACAATCGGACAATGTGGTCAACAAAGTTACATGAAAAAATTTGTAGGTGGGGGGAAAAGGAAAAAGAGCGCATATAACCATAACATTTAAACCAACTAAAGTCAAGAATTTTCAAGTAGGTGGGTAGCAAAAAGCACTAACTTCTGATCTTGTTTAGAGCGTCAATTTTATGGTGTAACGAGGGGTTTTACAAGTTTAATTATCAAGACCAAAAATGTTTGTCATGGCCTAATTAGTTCGCATGCCAATTTTCGTACCATTCGGATAAAGTGAACAAAACTTCACTAGTAAAATTTTGCAGGTGGGGGGAAAAGGAAAAAGAGCCATGCAGAGTAACACTTATAGGTACAACAGTTAATTTGCATTGTTTTGCTCCGGTTTTTGAATATATGGGAGAAAAAAGGCTCTTTTTCCTTCCCCTAGCCCTCCCCCCACCTGCAGCTCTTCATAATTGAAACTTCTATTAACTTTGTCCGATTGTCATAAAAACTGATATGCTGATAAATTAAGCCATGACAAACACATTTGGGCTCTTTTTCCTTCCCCCACCTCACCCGAGCTTCAATATATTAGTGTAACGAGTGATTTTACGAGGTTCAGTATGAAGACCAAATATGTTTGTCATGGCCTTATTAGTCTGTACGTAAATTTTCATAACAATCGAACAATGTGGTCAACAAATTTACATGTAAAAATTTGCAGGTGTGGGGGGGGAAAGGAAAAAGAGCCCACATTTGGTCTTCATAATTAACCTTGTAATTTTGTAAAACTACTCATTAGACCATAAAATTGATGCTTGTGTGAGGTGGTGGGGGGGGGGGGGGAAGGAAAAAGAGCCAAGACCTCCTATTTTTCCAGTGGACATTGACAAGAAACGGTTAAAAACTAAAAAGTTGTTTGTCGGTTGAAGGTCGCCGTGGGCGCGCTACGCGGTTTTCCGGCGATAACCGGCCCTAATTTTTGTAAAGAGTCCTACCCTCTGTTGGCAAGCTCGTAACACGTTGGCGCGACTGCAGCGGTTACTTTTTTACCGTTTATTTGCTGTTTGAAAAATTTAACTTGTATTTTGTATGTAGCAATGGAGCGGCGTAAAAAAATCACATACAGTTTCAGCCAAAATGACACTTTTTTAATCAAAATTTTCGCCTAATTTAAAAACTATTTTTTTGCCTAATATAGTTTTAGCCTAAAATAGCAGCCCCCGGAATCTTGTAAGTTTTGATCCGGGAAAAAAAACAGAGTGTACTGAAATTTGCTTTTAATTACTTGAGAGTTGCAACTTCCTTGAGAGATGCAATCACGTTTTCTCGCTCGGTCTAAAAAACTTTGCAAAAACTGTATAAAAAGTATTATAAACTTTTCAAGGAGAGCTTTTTTAAAGTTTTTCAGGCTTTTTTTCTCAGATAAAACTAAGATTTTCTCAGATACCGGCTCTTTTCCAGTTCCCCCTTTCATTTTTTCTGAATTTCATTACATGAAAGTTTTTTCAAAATAATTCTTAATGTTATAAACTGCATTAAAACGTGTCAGCGTGAACAGCTGAACAAATTTTCACAACATTTCTAACATGAAAATTGACGTGTGAACAATTTTTGAACATCTCTTTTTGTAATTTAACAAAAGGGGCTGGAAAAGAGCCCAGATACCTATCATAGGGCAAAAACTAACATAGTAGCAACCTTATTTCGTCTTTACTTCGTATTTTTAAAAACTTTCATTTTTTGTTTTTAGTTTCTCTAGTTCCGATACTTTTTCCTCCAATTTACTCAAGAATGCAGAACAAACGTTTATCCCGTTTTGGTTGAGCAGTGAACTGAAATTAGCTTAATCTTTCTAGAAATAGTTTTTTCTAATGTTAGTTCTGAAAGAAACAAAACGCAAAATTAGATTATTTTATCTAACTTAAGCTTGGGCTCTTTTTCCTCCCCCATTGCAAATTTTAACGTATTGGTTCCCATTGTCCGATTATTGTAAGCATTGCAACAAGCACTAGTTAGTTCAGTTGATATGAGCAATTTCTTGTTAAAAAAATAACTTCAAAATGAGGAAGACCTAAAACTGGCACAATTAAAACCTGCGACTTTTTTAAGGTAATTTTTGTGTTCAATTTTGGCTCTTCTCCAGTTTCCCCCCTTTCTTTCAAACTCAATATTGAAAAGTCTATTGAACGTTGTCACAATGCAACGAAATTAGGCGTGGTGAACAAATCGACAATTTTGAACAGATTTGTTCTTCATACTTTACAGGGTAACTTCACGCATTTAGCCATAATAACACGTAAAACAAACATAAAACTCGGTTTTGTGAAAGGGGGGATGTAGTGCGGTGCTGTTTAAATGTGTTGTTCAATGACGTCATTCTATTTTAGGCTGTTAATCTACTATTGGCTCTCAAGGTCGCTATCGACCTGTCAATCCACGGTCTAATTTTAAACAAGCTTATTCAATCACTCTTTTTCAATTTATGAAAGATTTAAGTTGAAGTATCTAATTTTCATGACATTGTTTACAACTTATCTATTATATAAAACAAGATGAATTAAATCTTGTACAGATCTTTTTATTCCTTAAGAAATCACATGGCTCAGCCAGCAGTTCCGATCTCAGATGACCGGACTGACCTGTTAGGTGTTCCTGTATTACGGCACAAACAAACATCGGATCCACCTAGTAGCTGGGAATCCTGGATAGGCCAGTTCAATTTGGCAATCACCTTGAGAGAAAGGTGTGATCCTCGTAAGCTACTAAAACCACAAGGTGTGGTACACGATGATCCTGTTCCGAAACCAGAGGCGGTGGGGATAGATGAAGGCGCAGTGGCAGTAGCGAATCGTATTGCAAGAAATGATGCAACTGCCCGCAGAGCGGCTGAGATGAATGAGGAACGTCGGGTGAAATGCCCCAGAGTAGCACCAGGTGTGTATTTTTACGAAGTCGAGCAGCGAATTAAATCTCGTTTAATCTTTTCTCTTGGCTAGGAAGGAAGGAAAAGATTCCTCCAGAGTTATCCGCCAGCGGACCTCAGTGCAATATCGATTCAAGAATTTCATCAATTCTGTGTTCTTCTCTTCAGAAAGGAAAAAAAATACATAATCGAACGTCTGCAAATTTGTAATGCCGTGCATACAGATCGAGAAAGTTTGGAAGCTGTTTATTTGCGACTTACGGGCCAAGCTGCTCTGTGTGATTGGACGATCGATCTGCAGAATGAAGTCGTGAGGGATATCTTTATTGCCAAAATGAGGTATAAGGATATTCAAAGAGAACTCTGTATTCGTCCGTGAGCCACTCCTGAAGAAACGTTGAAATCAGCGTTATTACAAGAAAAAGGAGCCCAAACTGCCACTGATCTGCAAAAGCAATTCGGAAGTTCGACTACAATGGGCAGTTTTTCCCCATTCAGGATCCAGTTTGGGTCAGAATACACGTATGAAACAAAAACCAACATTTTCTGTTCAAGGGAAGAAATTGTCAGATAGAATCAACCGAGCTCAAAATAATAAATCGAAAGGTACTGCTAACACGGAGAAAGCGAAATTATGTTACTTCTGTGGAAACAGGTTTTCAGCAAATCATAAACAAAGCTGTCCGGCCAGAAATGTAACTTGTCGGAATTGTAGTTAGAAGGGACATTTCGCCAAATGCTGCAATTTCAGCGTGAACAGCTGAACAAATTTTCACAACATTTCTAACATGAAAATTGACGTGTGAACAATTTTTGAACATCTCTTTTTGTAATTTAACAAAGGGGGCTGGAAAAGAGCCCAGATACCTATCATAGGGCAAAAACTAACATAGTAGCAACCTTATTTCGTCTTTACTTCGTATTTTTAAAAACTTTCATTTTTTGTTTTTAGTTTCTCTAGTTCCGATACTTTTTCCTCCAATTTACTCAAGAATGCAGAACAAACGTTTATCCCGTTTTGGTTGAGCAGTGAACTGAAATTAGCTTAATTTTTCTAGAAATAGTTTTTTCTAATGTTAGTTCTGAAAGAAACAAAACGCAAAATTAGATTATATTATCTAACTTAAGCTTGGGCTCTTTTTCCTCCCCCATTGCAAATTTTAACGTATTGGTTCCCATTGTCCGATTATTGTAAGCATTGCAACAAGCACTAGTTAGTTCAGTTGATATGAGCAATTTCTTGTTAAAAAAATAACTTCAAAATGAGGAAGACCTAAAACTGGCACAATTAAAACCTGCGACTTTTTTAAAGTAATTTTTGTGTTCAATTTTGGCTCTTCTCCAGTTTTCCCCCTTTCTTTCAAACTCAATATTGAAAAGTCTATTGAACGTTGTCACAATGCAACGAAATTAGGCGTGGTGAACAAATCGACAATTCTGAACAGATTTGTTCTTCATACTTTACAGGGTAACTTCACGCATTTAGCCATAATAACACGTAAAACAAACAAAAAACTCGGTTTTGTGAAAGGGGGGATGTAGTGCGGTGCTGTTTAAATGTGTTGTTCAATGACGTCATTCTATTTTAGGCTGTTAATCTACTATTGGCTCTCAAGGTCGCTATCGACCTGTCAATCCACGGTCTAATTTTAAACAAGCTTATTCAATCACTCTTTTTCAATTTATGAAAGATTTAAGTTGAAGCATCTAATTTTCATGACATTGTTTACAACTTATCTATTATATAAAACAAGATGAATTAAATCTTGTACAGATCTTTTTATTCCTTAAGAAATCACATGGCTCAGCCAGCAGTTCCGGTCTCAGATGACCGGACTGACCTGTTAGGTGTTCCTGTATTACGGCACAAACAAACATCGGATCCACCTAGTAGCTGGGAATCCTTGATAGGCCAGTTCAATTTGGCAATCACCTTGAGAGAAAGGTGTGATCCTCGTAAGCTACTAAAACCACAAGGTGTGGTACACGATGATCCTGTTCCGAAACCAGAGGCGGTGGGGATAGATGAAGGCGCAGTGGCAGTAGCGAATCGTATTGCAAGAAATGATGCAACTGCCCGCAGAGCGGCTGAGATGAATGAGGAACGTCGGGTGAAATGCCCCAGAGTAGCACCAGGTGTGTATTTTTACGAAGTCGAGCAGCGAATTAAATCTCGTTTAATCTTTTCTCTTGGCTAGGAAGGAAGGAAAAGATTCCTCCAGAGTTATCCGCCAGCGGACCTCAGTGCAATATCGATTCAAGAATTTCATCAATTCTGTGTTCTTCTCTTCAGAAAGGAAAAAAAAATACATAATCGAACGTCTGCAAATTTGTAATGCCGTGCATACTGATCGAGAAAGTTTGGAAGCTGTTTATTTGCGACTTACGGGCCAAGCTGCTCTGTGTGATTGGACGATCGATCTGCAGAAAGAAGTCGTGAGGGATATCTTTATTGCCAAAATGAGGTATAAGGATATTCAAAGAGAACTCTGTATTCGTCCGTGAGCCACTCCTGAAGAAACGTTGAAATCAGCGTTATTACAAGAAAAAGGAGCCCAAACTGCCACTGATCTGCAAAAGCAATTCGGAAGTTCGACTACAATGGGCAGTTTTTCCCCATTCAGGATCCAGTTTGGGTCAGAATACACGTATGAAACAAAAACCAACATTTTCTGTTCAAGGGAAGAAATTGTCAGATAGAATCAACCGAGCTCAAAATAATAAATCGAAAGGTACTGCTAACACGGAGAAAGCGAAATTATGTTACTTCTGTGGAAACAGGTTTTCAGCAAATCATAAACAAAGCTGTCCGGCCAGAAATGTAACTTGTCGGAATTGTAGTTAGAAGGGACATTTCGCCAAATGCTGCAATTTCAAAAATGTAGCGAATGTAGATGTGGAATCAATTGAAACTGCAGAAGAAAATTGTAATTTCATCACGTCCGATAGTGAATCCGAATTTGCAGTTTTGTCGGTTGCGGTAGAAGAGTCGGGAAATTATTTTGAGTCAGTGAAGAAATTGGAAGTGGTTAATGCTGCTACGGGCAAATTACGTTGTATTCAGATAACACTTCGTTGTGGAAAAACGTTTTTCAAAGCTACAGTTGATACCGGAAGTCCTGCTTCCTTTGTAAATAAGAGGACAGCAGATTATATTGTGAAGTCAGTACCTTCAGCCAAAGTTTTTAGTGAACAGGAATCTCCAATAGACACGGTATATGTGGACTATAATCGGAAAAGAATTGAACTGATGTGAACACTGATAGTCGATGTGTCGTCATTGGGATGGCATGTGAAGTCTGCAAAACTCCTTATTTTGGAAAATTGTACGCGTTGTCTATTAGGTTTAGACTTGCAGTTCCAGTTGGGGTGAGAACTACGCAAGTTAGACCGGAAAGGCCTTTGGTGGGAGAATTATCCCAATCAAACCCGAATGAAATGTCGGAATCTTGGAAATTAAATTTTCAACAGAAGTATCAACACGTATTTTCTCGAATTGGTAGAAGAGCCAAAATTGGTAGAGTCAAAAGGAAGACGGGTTTCAGTGCACATTCAAGATAAAGTTGGCGTCGAAATTCGGAAGCTGATTCAAGAAGGTCACATTGTCAAACTTAACAAATGTACAAAAGAACATTTTATATATCCGATAGTGATTACGGCTAAGAAGGATAGTTCTGTTAAATTAGCTATGGATGCAAAGCCCATGAAGGATCAGATCCATAAGAACCAAAATCAGATGCCGAATTTATTGGAACTGCTGGACTCAGCAGCCCAGATCATCACGTCGGAAAAAGTCGGCGATGTTTGGCTTACGTCACTAGATTTTAAATATGCATTCAGTCAGATCCCTCTCAGTGATGAAGTCAGTTGCCAGTGCAACTTTAATATAGTTTGTGGGGAACAAACCGGCACGTACCGGTTTAAAACCGGTTTTTATGGGCTAACAGATATGCCTAAAGAGTTCCAAAAAGTTATGAATAATATTCTTCAGGGTTTATCGGGAGTTTTCTGTTTCCTGGATGATATTCTAATAGTTTCGAAAGGATCAGTCATGGATCACAATATTCTTGTGATTAAAGTGTTCGCCCAATTGGATGAAGAAGGTTTAGCCCTGAAGTTATCGAAGTGCGACTTCTCGATGAATCAGCTGTCTTGGTTAGGTTATGATGTTGATTCAGAAGACTATAGGCCGACACGTTCCAAAATTGATGCGGTATCAGCTCTTGAGCCTCCTAAGTCTTTAAAACAGCTTCGATCCTTTATGGGCATTCTCAACCACTTACAACGATTTCTGCCGAAACTTCAGGTCTTTTCGGAACAACTCCGCCCTTCCTTGAAAGCAAGTAACAAAAGCAACTTTGTGTG